TGCAGCTGAAAAGCGATTTAACAAGGCCAAAAACTACAGCAAGAAAGGCAAACATTGCTGAATTATTCAGAGGCAAACAAAAGGCATTCAATTAAAATTTGCACAGTTTGCTGGGCATGGCAAAACATTTAATACAATTTACGCAAATTAATTTCGCCAGCAAAACTGCGGAAATGCAAAACTGCGAAAAACTGTGAAAAACATCCAAAATCTGCGCCAATGCCGAGGAATTTCTGCTATTTGAATCGCAGATGGGGCAAAAACCCTGACAAAAATCGCCATTCAGCGATCGATGAAATGTTTCGAGTGCAACAAAAATGCAATATTAATGGCCTATATAAATGGCAGATATACGATTTATATATACATATATACAATAATGGCCCTCCAAACAGCAGTTAAACGCAAATATTTCTGCGTAAAAACAATTTGTGAAAATTGGGAAAAAGCGATAGAAACGGGCAGATAGATAGACAATGCAATACCAATTTGTCGTATTGTTTGCCAATGGCCAATGGCCGAAAAACAATGGCTTAGGTAACGAAAGATATGGCAATGAATGATGTGTAGTAGGGTCATCCATTTTGCAGGCAAAAGCTTCTCTCTTGTTTGAATGGCTCTGGAAAATTGGGTCAGCCGATAAAAACAATAAATAGTCGTCCAGAATTTATGGCATTTTAAGGTGTTTGCAGAAGAGCCATTCACCAAATTGATTGCTTTTCATTTTCAACTGGCAATTAAAATGGTATGTATTAAAAAAACAACAGGAAAATAGTCTTCAATTTTCTTTTTAGGTAGTTCTGGCCTATCTATCACCTTGGATTAGATATTTCGTTATGTCTTTTTAAGGTGAGTAAACAATTTTATGCATAAATTTGCCACTCAAGATCTTAAATAACCTTTACTTTCTAACTCAAAACTTAAAGCAATATTCTTGTAATAAACCAAAATAAGCCTTAAATATTTACATTTTCACTTTCCCCCTAGACTCGTCTCAGTCTCATAAACTACTTGCAAAAGGGTTTTCAAATATTTTCATATGCAGCCTTTGGCTCCTGGCGCAAACACACAAAGTGTGAAACCCTTTGAGACGCACTAGACACACCTGAAAACGAATAAAACCAGGAAAAATTCCCTAAAGAAAAACAGAACGCTTTCCAGGGGAGACACCATGAAAAGTCTGGAAGAGGAGAAGAAAAAAAAAAAGGACACACAAAAATCCAGGAAAATTATTTTACGGCAAGTGTATGCGTTGTGAAATTATTATGAGCTAAGGGTCTGGCTATATGGTAATAATGTGGAAGGGAAGGCAGCCGCTATCCGCTTGAATTAAAATGAATTTAAGTGGTTTGCTTTTGGCCAAAGTTGCTCCCACATGCAGACAGAGCAGAGAGCAAGGATATCGTGCATTATGCTTAGTGGCTAGATGAAAAGACAACTCAAATTCATATTTAGCTGCAAACTGTCTGCAAAGTTGCAACGAGTTATTAATTAAGCGAAAAATTATGAATCAAAGGAATTATAACAAAGGTTTTATGGAAAAAATAGTCATTAAACTAAGACCATTGAAAAAAGTTGAACTTTTGAAATACTTTTTGATTGCGTAGACATCCTTAGACCTTCTAGATCCTTTTCTTTTCCAAAACTCAGAGTTCATACGGACAGACGAACAGGCAGGTAAAAGGATTTATGATGGATATGACTAGACAACCTTTGTTCATGAAGATTAAATATAAATTTACCTTCATTTGAGTAACAATTAGTTAACAGTTCTAAAACAGGTAAGACAGATCCGCCTGGTAATTAGTCTTTTTCAGGATTACTGCTTCTAATCGTTTATGCGCCCTTTTCTCTGGGAGATTTTTGAATAGAAAGTTAAACTATAGGGAATAATATGTTCGAGTGTCTCGACTATTAGACACCCATTACTCTGTTAATTTAACAGAATTTGATGCAATATTCAATTTTGCGGTCACCATCTATTGATTGACCCATGAAAGGTATGTCTGTTAACTACCTTTAATAAATTGTGAACTAATGCTAAAATTAATACAAATCTTAGCGTATTTGTGGGAATTGAGCAAAACCTTATTCAAATTAAAACCAAGACTTAAACCTTTATGACTGGTTTATTAAATAAACTTCCTCTACAGGGTGATCTCTTCAATATGCATGCTGAATCATAACTTTATATTTTTAATAGTTTCCGAGATCTAAGCATTCATTTGAACGGTCTGACAGACAGACCGATCTAATTATCAAGTACAAAATTGTTTAACAATAATAATTAAAATTTCCATTTGTTTTCTAATTGCTAAATAATTATCTGGAGATTTATATTTTAAAATAAATAAAAATGAAAATTTTTAATCAACTTTTTAAGACGATATTTTCTTTCTCTAAAACCAATTTCCTAACTCATTTCTCATCGAGAATGCAATTCCTGGCGGCATTCTATTAGAGAAGCCTAAATCAAATATTAATTTCAGTAGATGGATAGATAAGGCCAGCCCCCTGATAGAGCCATCAACACGCAATGGCCGAGCTTTGGAGTTTAATTAAACTCACGATCATGAGCAACTTGCCGCGCAATTAAAACTCGAGGCTAGAAGGAAAAATCAACCGAACTTCGCTCATTCGCTAGGAAAATTAAAAAGAGGCGTTGCCGTTTGTATGGGACGTATAAAATGGGGGATGGGGGAGATGCGCTATCTCTGGCCAGGCCACGCCCCCCCGTCTAGAAAGTGAGGGGCGTGAGTGGCAATTTTTCGCGCTGAGTGCAAATTGCGATTGCGAGGATCGGATCGTGGAGCTCTTTCCCAGTGCAAATAAGCAATTAGTTGGCTTAATAACTCAATGGCCTTGCAACCGGTTTGCATTTCCTAATAGAATTTTTCTTGCATAGAAGTGTAGTGGTATGAGGGGTAAAGGGGAAAGAGGGGCAGGACACAAGTTAACTTTTGCCTTTTTGCTAAACAGTCCGCGTAAAAGTTTGCTGGCAACAAAGTTGGCCGGGGCACAAAGTAAATGAAGCCGCCGCAGCAGCCTCAATTTAAAATTAAGCTCATGAAAAGTAGTTAACCTCCAAAGGCATACAACCAACCCACCCACTCACTCACTTACTACCCCACTGCCAAAAAGCCGTTAACTACAGCACAAAGTCAACATTGGTGTGGGGAAAAATGTGGGGGGAAAAGCGAGGTTTTCCCTCTTGTTCGCATTAAAGTAAGCATGAAATTAAAGCTAAACCAAAAGGGGCGACCTCCAACCCTGATGGATGCATGGCTTTTATAAGCTTGTGGTTCACTGGGTGAAGATAGGGTGGAGGGGGCGGGGCTGGGGTTTGTGGTAATAAGGGCAAAATGGGGGCACAAACAGAGCACTGTTGCCTGCATTGTTGCAGCAGCATCAAATTAGCAGCCTTGTTGTATAAAAACTAGCGCGAAATTCACATTTTTCGCCCATTGTTGGTGGTGAAAAGCTACCAAAAGAAGCTCAAATGACCTCAGACTGGATGGGCACTGAGAGAAATTGGTGAGTCAAAACTTTATTATAACAATTTATAAAATTAGTCTTGTAATAATTTTGGAAACATGCATTTCTAAGGAAATTTTAATAACACGAAACTTAGTTGAAAACACAAAAAGGCTTAAGAAAAACGATAAATCTTTATAATAAAAATCTTCATAAAAAAAACTTCAAATCAAAACATACCCATGTTTTTTTCCCAGTGCACCTAATGACACTCTACCGAAACTCAGCTTAAAGAGCAGCCGCATCTTCTTCCCAATACAGCTGCACTCATAAGCTTCGTCCTGAAATTTCTTTCATTTTAACATTTGTTTCCTTTTCCCATCCATTGTGCTGCTCTTTATGCCATTTGTTTCGTGAGAAAACCAAACAAGAGGGCGAAAATAAAATTACAACACCCAAAGGTGTAATTGAATCAAATGAGGAAAGCAAAAATTTTGAGATTACTTCAAAATGTACGCTTCGAGACGAAACTCATTTCGCTTGGGGCAATCAAATGCATTTCCCTGGGAGGGATTTTTTATTATTGTTGGCTGGAAAAACTAGAGGGGTTGTTGCATGGCTGCTAATAACTGAAAATACAAATGAGGGGGGTAGCGAGATAAATTGGGGACGCTTTGGGGAGCAGCAATCAGTGAAAGTGCCTGCCGCAGGCGTCTGCCGCTTCCGGTGCGCCAAACGGAAACGGAAGTTGCACACGCCACAGAGAGAGAGAGACGAACACTTTTCACGCACATATGCGCCCAATCATCATCATCATCATCAGCATAATGCGGTCGAAAAACATTTAGAGACGGAATTATGACAGGCCCACAGACAAAGCCAGACCCAGACAGAACAAACGGCAGAACGAACTAAAGAAAATAGCCGGCTAAACACAGACTCCAAATTGCGATTGCTAAAAGACTCCGCCGACTCCCCCAGAAAAGTCGACAAAGGCCAAAGCTGATTTTCTTGCTAAGCAGCGGGCAAAATCGGGAAAGCGGGAAGGGGCGGAAAAGCTGGTAGCCTGGCAACATCAGTCTGGTGATTTATGTGCACTGTTGAAGGCTCAAATAAGCGTTAAGTTTTCATTTCCGCTGGCGCCGCACTCAGCGGGTCCGAGAGTGAAATATCCACAAAGAAATAACCAAACTGCAAAAGAATTATTGTTTTCTTTTCTTGCCAAAACAAATTAAGAGAAATGCTTAAACAAAGTACCGACTTTCTGTGGATTTTCGCAGTGCAAGGGGTCGCGCGCATTAGCAGAACCGGAAAAGAATTTCCCAGGACGGGGTAAAGCGTTAAGGAAAATAAATTATGGCGACAGCGGGCTAAGAAGCAGGTGAAAGGATGGACAGCAATGGGAAGTGTTTAATAAGCGTTTTGGGGGGACAGAGCTCAATGGCTTAAATGGGTTTCATCAAGTTAGAGGAGTTTTTAAACATTCTTAAAATATTTTCAAAAAAATCAGTCAAACAATTTGAATGTTCTTGTAGGCATAAATCTTAGAATTCCAATACATTTTTCTTATATTTTTAATAAGTGTATGATTGACAGAAACTATGTACAAGTTATATTCTCCTACACAAAGATTAAAACAATGAATTAAATGTTTTATTAGTTCTTTTTAAGATGGTTTGCCTTAAAAACGGGAATGATAACAACTATTTTCGCATTTCTTTAACAATCCAGTCCGTAAAGTGCAGCACATTTGTGTAAATCTGAGGTCCGGTGTCATCAGCCCGTCCAAGGCTAACAATACCAACTTGCACGGCTTGAGAGTCTTTCGTCAAGAGTTCCAAGGGTCCACCACCGGTACCCCTGTACATATCCGATTTAGTGGGTTCAGCGCAGATGATATGTTGTCCACGATCGTCACCAAACTCGTCCTTGCATCTTTTCACATTATGGTGAATGGCGTTACCGATACTCACTTCACCGTCAGCCTCAAAATTGTGGTAACTCTGCCTCAGATCACGTTTTGAGTCTACCGCCCTCTCTATCTGGGAATCGATCTTGGCGTAAATGCAAATCGGCTTGACATTATCTAAAATTTGACTTCTTAGTTTTACTAAAATCTTGCTGTATTTTGTATTTTGTATTACCGTCTAATGGCACTTCGCGCTCCAGTTTCAGCAATGCAATGTCGTTCATAAAATTAGAAAAGTCGGGATGGGGAGTCGCTGAAACTACGTTCAAAGTTAATCCAGCCACGTCAACATGACTGAAATTAAGAATTAAGAAATCATTTTTATCAATAAGTAGTAATATAATTTGTTTGGTAATTTTGGATACTCACAATTGATTGGCTTCTTGCCCAACACAAACTGCACCAGTCAAGACATAACCTTGAAGTCAATGTACAATATATAGTCGGAAAGTACAAATATTAAGCATACTTACGATTCGAGATAAGCGAACCCGCACACGAGCTTTCATTTGTCTTAACACGGACCAGCCATGGGCTGTTGCTTCCTCTGCCGCAATTTTCGTAAATAAATTCTCCTTGGGATCTAAGGACTAAGCCGGCGAAAAGAAAGACTGCTATAGCCGAGGACCTCATCTTGGGACTGAAAATTGCTGCTGCTGTTGCCATCTGAACGGCAACCCTCTTATATACCAGCTCAGCAGTAAACTCAAGATAAGCTATGGTTCAAAGAATCTTAATCTGTCATAGGCCTGACCCTATATGAAAGGTCTACTTATATACAATTATAATGCGATTATAATGAAATTGATATTCCTTTATACTATTTAATCAGCCATATATGCTAAGCAAGTAATCATTGTCAACTATATGTTTTATCTTTCGAATTACAGAAGCAATCGAAGTGATAAAAAAGTGCATTTTCATTTTCTCAGGAAAGAGCATACATATTACTTTTCTTCTCTCTTTTTAGAATAAGAACCCTAACAAAAGTGCGATAACAATGAAATACATATTTTTAAACAATAAATATAATGAATAAAAAAGTAATAAAATGAAATAAAAAGAAATAGCAAAAACAGAAAGTTCAAAAATCTTGACAGATTAAACTAGTAAGTATTTCCATTAAATTTGAACCCTTGCACAGAAATCGAAATCCCCTTAAAACCATTGTAAAGCGCACCTGGGAGCAAGGCAGAGCCATTAATTAAATGCAAAGAATCCCTGTTAAAATATCTTTAGAACTGCTAAATGGCTGGCAAACTTTTGGCCATAACCCCGCATTTATCCCACTGCGTTAATCAAAGCGAATGATATTTGCAGGAGCGAACTAAACTCGACTTGGCATTTTATTTATTGCTTACATATTTCGCTGGCTCATTCCGCCGTTGAGCAAATTGTTAAAGAACTCTACGGCGTACACCGCGCCGTATACGCAATTTATCAAAGCACAACAACGGCAATTAATTTGTGCGTTCGCCTTACCAGCGGCAACATCAACTTTTATAAATCAAACGTAACGAGCGTGTAAAACCTGACGAGCCCCCAGGTATATGGTGTATATATTGCTAACGCCCCCTTAACAATTTGGGGGTGGCTTTTCATTAGGTGGTGGCATTTTTACAGACCCCGCCAATAACAAAAACAACAAAGGCAGCGCCAACTTTTCAAATAAAACTCAATGGCAAAAATATTTACAATTGACTGTGAAACATTTTTTACCATTTGGCAGGCGTGACTTTACCTTTGTTTCATTGTTTTTGTTATTTTCCAGTTTTCTCCGTATTTTTTGTTTTGTTTCCTTCGTCGTGCGCCCACACTGCGTATGAGTTATTTATTTTTGAATTATTGGCATTTGAAACTTTTTGGTTCAAGGGGATGAACGTGCTGGGATTTCTTATCTGTATTCGATTAGGAACTGAGCAGGGGGTATCCCAGTGAATAACTCAAAGAATATTTATGAGTATTTAAAATTTGGCAGAGAGATTAATGGGGCAACTGTTAGCAATTAAGAAGTTCGAAATAGATTATAAGTTAGGAAGGAAAAAAACCGTCATTTCGGGCTAATTTATATTTAAATACATTACATATTTTCAATCTTATCTATTAAATGGAGACGAGATTTGGTATTTGAGCCCTTTCTGTACAATTTTTATGAATTATAATCACAAATCAATGCCATTATTTAACACTTTCTCACAGATTTTACATTTATTTTATCGTAAACAACGCTTAAAGATCTGTCATCAAAGTAATTTACCTTAAACCCCTTGATTATTACTTACTTACTTACATTACTTATAAAATTTACAACATAAGCGGCTCAACTATAGTACTTCCCTTGTGTTTGTATCCAATCATCTCGAATCACTTCACCATTTCTCATCCCAAAATCCGCTTTACATCGTTTGTCAGCGCCAACTTCTGTCTATCCACTAAGAACCTGGCCAACAATAACATCAACAATGACAACTACAACAATAAGAGTCCTGACAACACCCACACAGAGCGATGTTGAAAATCAAGAGAAACACGAAAACTTGCATAAGCGATGTTCCAACTCACCTGACAAACTCGAAAAGGCAGCTGCCGGTTGCAAGTTGCAACAATAACAACAGGCAGCATGTTGCACAGGCAAAGGCAACACTAACAAAAGGCCCCAAACAATTTGCCACTGCACTGGGACATCACCTCCAGTCCCCTCGACCTGGGCTAAGCCCACGTAACCCGCGCATCCATCGACCCCTTTAAAGCCAGTCCCCCACCCCTTTAAAAACCTCCCTCAGAAGCGCTACATTTTGCGCTTTATGCACATTGTTTATGAATTCTCGCGCACAAAAACTTTGCCCATGGGAAGAAAAGAAGGTAACGAGGGAGGCTACACTGGTAATATCTTCACTGAAAATATAAACAATTATTGCATTTATCTTCATAAATAAATAAGAACTCGTTCTTGAATTGATACAAATTATTTTGCTATTGATAGTCCATTCCAGATATTCACTTTCCGTCTACGATAATAATAATATTTTGTAATTAAAATCTTTTTAAAAGAACAGGTTGGGAATTTAAACAAGTTTGATATTATATTAAATTATCTATAACATAATCCTAAATGTGTTATAACATTATAGTGTAATTTTTGTTTGTCAAAATATTTTATATATAAGATTATGCAGCTTCAAAACAACCTACATTCTGTTATTGGGAGACATGTAAGACATTCTAAGCAATGTAAATATTTCGATTTCACACACTTTAAATTAAAGTGTACCTTTTTAGAGAATCACAGATGTTCTATCCACATTTTTTCGAGTGCATTAGCTGGCAGGCCAAAAGGCCCAAAGGCTCTTGCGCTGAATGGTTTTACGATTATTAACCCATAAAGTATTCATTGAAGTGAGTTTGAGTGGCCCAACTGGGTTCGCAATTTTTGGCTGTTCCTCCGCTTTTCTCCCCTTTCTCTTTTCCACACCTCCCGCTCTTACTCTCTTTGTCTCTTTTCGGCACGCAAAAGTGCAATAACAAACAGGAACCAACAGCAGTGGCGGCAACAACAACAAAAGGCGCCACAAGTTGGCAGCCCTTTGGCTCTGCCGTTTTCATACTTCATTCGCTTTGTGCATTTTCTTCACTCCCCTCGCTGATTCTCCTGCTTCTTCTTCTCCTTCTTATGCTGGCCTCCACCTTTCCAGTGAGTTGTAGTTGGCGTTTTATTTTGCGCCATGCTCTTCAGCGGCCTCTCTCTCTTCAGTCGAGTGCCCTTTCATTGGTTTGCATCTGGTTATCTGCTCCATCAGCAGCGTCTCCCGCAACTGTTGTGCCAATTTGGCTACTTTCCAGTCAAATCATAACAGGTTATAGCTCAGAAAAACTTTGACTATAATGTTAAACTTTTTAAATTTTATAATTATATTATTATTTTTATAATATTATTCCTTATAATTAAGTAATAATAATAACAATATCTTGGTCTCTCCCTTTGTTGAATACTCGCTTAACAATGGAATTAATTTGTTTTTTGCTTGATAATGTTTGTTAATGTTGGTAATTTTAATGAAAAAATTTGTTTAAACATAAGGTAGGTCTAATACACATTTATAATTACTACTTTACCTAAATCCTTTATATGTATATCAGAACTCTATTCAATCTAGCTATATAGATATTCCATTATGCTCAACACTGGTATTGATGCGCTACTTCTGTTGTTTCGCTATTGCATTTTCAACTGGCCAACACTCGGCTCTTCCGCCCACAGGAGTCCCTTTAGACCCCCCTTCCAAACCTCCTCCTTCCAACCAATCTCTCCCATTTGCGAGTGCCTTAATTTATGCAGCCGACAAGAGTGAATATTAAAAGTTTTCAAAATATAATTAAGAATGAAAGTCCTTAAGAACTATTCCATTCTATTCTCAGATGCACTTATTGCCTTCAGGCAAACTTTTTGACAGGTAAGAACAAAGCTAAACCTTAGCTTGAGATCCTATAAATTAGGCAAAAAATAAGTCCTAAAAATTATAATTTACCTACCTCCAATTTGGTATACATTTTTTATGTCTCTCATTCACTCTTCCCCAACTCCTACTTTTTTATTTCCCTCCTAATCACGCTTACACTGCACAACCGAGCGTTAAAAAACCCATTCGATACACTTAAATTATGACCTAGAACCAGCTACCCTTATATCTGCCATCCCATTTCACCTCCCCGCTAGCCCCAAAAAAAGCTCCCCACAAATCTTCCATCTCTATACGTAAATAGAATTTATCAAATTTAATTTCACGCTTCATGCGCTCATTTCTATTTAAGTTTGAGTGTCGTGTCCTATCGAGAGTCCAAGGATCCACAGAAAAAGAAAGCCGAAAAAAATAACGAAAGAGCCGAAGGAGCAAAGGGAAAAGGGCCAATGAATGTCAAAAATTGTGACCGTAAATGACGGGCCTCAGCCATTGGGCCAATGAGCACTATAAATCTGGCAAGAGATAACCGGAAAAATGCTAACGAGCAGAATGGCCATAGCTAAAAATCTCTCACTATCAGAACGCAAAATTTATAAAAAATAGAAACCGGAAAAAATACGAAAATGATGAGGGACACTTAAAGTTATGAAAATTGTAAATTTCGGTTCGGTTTAGTTTTCTGCATGGACAAGAAAAAGTACAAATATTTGGATTCGCATACATCCCCATATCGTTTGCCCTCGTCACAGGACTTTGGGGTCTTTGGGATCCTGCATGTTTTGCATAGGAAAGAAGAGGGGAGGGGGTCGGAGGGCATACGCACACAAATTTCCATGTCAAGTGTTGTTCGAAAGTTGTTTTCAGCTTGACTTGGTTTCCTTCTAGCACCGCCTCCTCCATAAATGTAATCAAAAATGTATTCAAATTGTTTTTATGGTGGCCGTGTTTAAACTTTCTGACGTTTCGCACATAAATTTTTGATATATGTGTCATGCATGGTGATATGGTGTGGAAAATTACTTTGGATTTTAATGAGTTGTCTGGTGATTTCGGTTAAGA